ACTGTTTCATCTAAAAATCTTATTTAATTTAGTTTAATAGTTTCTTAAATATAATATATATAATATAATTTAAAATATTTTATTAACCCTATTTAAATAAGTATCAAAACTCTTTTCTTTAATTTAAAAAGAATTTAAAATTAACGTAGGCTATAACGATATTTAACCCTTTCATCAACATTTATTTAAAAAGTAAATTTGGATATAGAAAAACGGGTTAAAGACTTATTATTTTAAATAAGTTAGCTTTATCTATTTAATGCTTTTTGTAAAAGCGTTTCTTTAAAGACTCTTAACAAATCATTCAAGCTGTTTTTACTGCCTAAGTTATTAAACCTGTTGTGTGTGCCAAATATCGATACTTAATGCAAATGGAAACTTCGAGTGCTAATGGTGATTAAAGCATAAATGGTTCCTATTCATATATAATAAAAGGAAATATGAAAGACAAAGCAAAAATGATTTTTATATCCATTTAAAACAATAAATCCCAAAATAAAAAAATACAGATATTTACTTAAAAACATATTTTTCTTGATATAAAATAAAAATATAACCTTTAGTACAAATTACAAAAAAAAAATTTATTCAACAGAGCTACTTATAATACAATTTAAATTGAATCATTGTTTCATAAATATTAAGCTTTAAGTAAGCCATAATCAAGTCAGCTATAAGAAACGGAACTAAAAATGGAACAAAGTTATTTAAACGAATAATCATACACATTAATTACAAATTAACATGTCATGCAATCAATACTTTTGAAAACTCAAATATGCGAATAAGAAACTTACTTTTTTATTTTTACATAACCCTGACAGACCAACATGAATGTGAGCTAAATATATTTGCATAAAACATCACAACAATTAATCAAATAGCAGAACCACCTTCAAAGGACAAAAAAATTAGTTTTTTAAGGAAAATTAGAGTTATTGGGAGGGGAGGTATTAATGAATAAAAAAGCTCAACTTGAATTTCAAAATTAGTTCATAGTTTTGTTGAGAGTTATTGAGTTATTCTGAGTTTATTATACATATTTTAAACTACTAACACCACACACTTAAATTCTTAGTTCTGGAAGGTGCTACATAGAATTTGATTGTGTGAAAACCAAATCCCTTTGAGATTAACATCAACTTTATCAAATGTATGACCGTGACTTTTATTTCTAGTTAATGAGCATTGTTGATAAAGGTGTCTTTATTTAAATGATTTACTTTGATAACATTTAACATTCATGGGAAAAAATAAAAAACAACAAAAATAAATTTACAAAAATATTTTACAAAAAATTACAAAAAAAAATGAAGTGGCTCAAAAGTTGTCAATTTCTTTACATTTTAAAATGTAAAAAAATTATTGACAACTTTTGAGCCACGTTGTCTTCTCCTCCCAGCATCCGCTCTATTCCCCGTGTTGTATGGGGTGCCATCCCTCCATCTAAAGGAAGGATGGTCGTCCCCATACAAACACCAGCGATGGAAGGCCCTCATAGATAGAGGGCCTGGATGCTGGGAGCGATACTTTCGGAAATCTTCCCATGACTTCGAGCCTGAAAAAAAAATTATATATAAATACAACTATCTACCTAGGTAATACTTACAAAAAATCTACTGTAAAAAAACAATAAAAGCAAATAATGTAATAAATTAAGTACAAGTGAGCACAACAACTTATTTATTTTACTCACTAATACTTGACTTATTACATTAACTAATTAAACTGGAAAGCACATTTGTAGCTATATTAAAAAACAAAAGGTACAATAAAAGCAATCAATCAATGTAATAAGTCAAGTAAAGGTGAATATAACAACTTACTTGTAACAGAAGAAGCAGCAGCTAGAGATAAATAAAAGAAAGTTAAAAATGCAATAAAACCAATTAATCCATAAATTAAGTCAAGTATAAGTGAATAGAACAACTTACTTGTAACAGAAAAAGCAGCAGCTAGAGATAAATAAAAGAAAGTTAAAAATGCAATAAAACCAATTAATCCATAAATTAAGTCAAGTATAAGTGAATAGAACAACTTACTTGTAACAGAAGAAGCAGCAGCTGAGATAAATAAAAGAAAATTAAAAAAGCAATAAAAACAATCAATCAATGTAATAAGCTGCATTAGGATCATAGATATACAGCTGACAATATTTGGGCAGACAACCTTCTGCAGGCCTTAAATTTCCAACACGATGCAAAATTTGCCCACAGACCCTAAAACAGAAAGGGTCATTATTTGAGGGAGGAGCTATTTCGGCAGTGAAGGAAGCAAAAGATAAAGAGGAATTATAACTCCTTATGCGTTTAAAAAAATTTTGATTTACAGCATGATCAACATGGTTTCCTGTCATTAAACCAGTCAACAATGGCGGATAAAGAGAAAGAGGAGCTAATGCAACTTTTCCTGAATGGCAGCACAAAAAATGAGTTTCATTTAAAAACTTCTTTGCACTGCAATACTGACAATTATGGTTTAATTCTCCGAGGTAGTTACTCTCTATAGCAATATTATTTCTTGCTATGCGATGCATATTATACCTATTAAGTTCTCGCCTAGCCTGATTTCTTTCATTTTGATTACAATTTATTTCAGCTCGCCGGGGCTCATCTCTTTCAATTCGACGACGATTTATCTCAGCTCGCCGGGGCTCATCTCTTTCCATTCGACGACGATTTATCTCAGCTCGCCTGGGCTCATCTCTTTCATTTCGACGGCGGTTTATCTCAGCTCGCCTAGCCTGCCTTCTTTCATTTTGACGAAGTCTAATAATTTCATTTCTTAAATTATTAGACATAATTAGGCATCAAAGGAGTGTGTAAAAATGATGCCTAATATAATAAAAGTTGAAGTTTCTTTTTTAAACTTATCTAAAATAAAGTGTAAGCAAATAATACAGAGCATAATACTATAATCTATTATATTCTACCATATATAGCATTGTGTTAAGATAACATAGTTTTATTAAAAACTTAAACTAAAGTTATAAATTAATGTAATATTTTCAACTAAGTATTGTTTATATATTTATGGTAGTTGTTATCAATTATTGACAAAATATTATAAGTATTTAATCAAAAAAAAACAAAAAAAAACAAATGTAATTTAAAAAACAAATTTTTTACATATAAGAACTCATAAATGAAGCAAATTAAAAAAATTTAAGGCCTGTCAACTCAGCAGGTACTGCTAGCATGGAAGGATAAAATGTAATCATCCATCAACAAAACCCTTTCATTACTTTGAAAGGCATTTAACGCAAGATTTGCAATAAATAAATACAAAACTACTAAAAGAACCTCTATAAACAATCATATATTTGCTTCAAGTCAAGAAACTTGGAAATATTGAAACTTCTTTTACTATTTTATTTTTTTTTTAGATATTTAATATTCTAAAGAAAAAGGGACAATAATTTAAGGCAAAAAAATTAAAATGTCTATACATATAATATATGTATAGACATTTTAATTCTATATATTTTATTGTGTGTGTGTGTGTCTATATATATATATATATATATATATATATATATATATATATATATATATATATATATATATATATATATATATATATATATATTGATGTACATACAAAACATTAAAATAATAATATAAAGAAAACATTCTCTATACAAAAAATCCTAAAAATTTAACAAAAGTTATTAAAACTTATGCTTCAACACGCTGTATACTTACTTTTATATATATAAAAAAAATTTGAGTTAAACATATTTAATGAAGAAAATCGAAACTCTTAAAAATTTTAATGAGGAGGAGCTGTTAGTAAAGCCTGCTTTTTAAAAAAAATTATTTATTGTCAAAAGCATACATTGTTAAGAACAGAGGATAACAACATTAAAACACATTTTTTAAACAATGTTTTTTCAACACATTTTAGAAATACACTAATTACAAACAGAATTAATTTATGTGTTTTTTTATGACCATACACCACTCTGCTGGCGAGGACAATATTTTTGCTCTCAACAAAGCCAGGTCACATTATAGCAAAGTACACCACTTGGCTAGCGAGGTCAACAATCTTGCTGTAAACTAAGCCCAGTCACAACAATTTGAAACCATGCAAACAACATAATTATCACTTACAAACTATAAACATATTACATATAACACACCACAAACATTGAAACATTTCATATATTTACACACTTACAAAATATAAACCCATATAACCTTAACACATATATACACAATAAAACACAATATAAATAACACACATATATAGATAAATATATAAATTAAGAAAAATATATAAATTTGAAACTTTACAAATACAACCTTATTTTTGTTTTTTGAAATACCTCGTAATAAATGTTTAACAACTTTCAAAAACAAACTATCAAACAATCTGGTTTTTTATACGGATTTTTATAACTTCTTTTAAATAAGGTATTAAACGATCTTGTTCTTTAACATGTAACATTGAGTTGACCGTGTGAGATGCAAGTGTTTTAAACACTAACTTTATCAAGAGTTTGACCTCTTGACCTTTGAAATGAGCAACGTCTTCTTGAGTCGTCTTTTAATTTAAAAATTAGAGATTAATTTTATAAATTAATAAATTTAAATACAATTGACAAAAGACTAAAATGCATGATTTAAATAAATCACCTGACTTTAAAAGTTACTTTACTAATTCAATAATAACATAATGTTCATCCTTTACTACAGAAGTTATCAAATAAAAATTGTTGATCTTATCACTAATTAAGCTGATGAAACAAAGTTTTTGATCTCATTACTGATTAAGCAGATACTGACAGATTATTAAGATTTGAAAGAGCCCCATTAGGCGAGTTCAGAAGTAAAGCAATTTATGATAAAACTCAAAGGCCAAGTATGGTAAAAAAATCCGTGTAAAGGTGCACGAATGGTGAGCAGCAGCGTTAAGTTAAGTATTAATTATAAGCGATTGTATTCATATTTTTATTGATATATTAAATTTTTAATATTATAATATACTTTTTTTAGATGCTGCACTTAGTGAAGTGTCAGTTCGTTAGAAGCTCAATCTATCCAATTTATTTTATGATTTAAATGATTATGAATAATTTATGTAAAAGAAAGATTTTATTTTAATTTATATTTCTTTATGTTAAAGTCATTTTTAAGCCGAGCTTGGGCCGACATTGTTTTATCGGTTAGGTTATATTCAACGAATATATATTGGATGAACTCAGGCTAAATGTTATTTGGCCGACAATAAAAAATTTATTGGCAAATAGTCAACTTATTTGCAAGTTAGCCCACATTCAGCTGATTTTCTATGTATATATATGTATATATATATATATATATATATATATATATATATATATATATATATATATATATATATATATATATATATATATATATATATATATATATATATATATATATATATATATATATATATATATATATATATATATATATATATGTATATATATATATATATAATATTATTATTATAATTAGGGATAGAAATGTTGTAGACCATTTATTTACAAAATAGCCCACATTCAGCTGATTTCCTATGTATATATATACATATATATATATATATAAATATATATATTTTTATATATACATGTATATATATATATATATATATATATATATATATATTTATATATAAATGTATGTATATAGATATTCTAAAATTAGCTAAAGGAAATTTCTTTCATTTTTCAATTATTGAAACTTTGAAGTATTGCATTGACAAAGGTATTTCAAATGTTTCATCGACTATAGATTTCATTTTCAATATAGACGGTTTACCACTTTTTAAAAGTTCTGGGCTTTGTGCATGGCCAATACTCTTGTATATACCACAGTTTAAAAGCTATTTTCCATTTACCAGTATCCATTTATTGTGGTACAGTAAAACCTGATTTGTGTACTCTGATAAAAGATTTGTGTGGTGAGTTGTCAATATTGTGTGGTGAGTTGTCATTTTTATATACAAAACCTTGAGATTTTATCTCAAGGTTTTGTATATAAAAATGTAACGTTTCTTATCAATAGTATAATTTTTGTTTGTGATGCACCTGCAAGAGCAATGCTTCAAGGTATCAAGTACTTTAATGTGAAACTTGGATGTTCATATTGTAAAATAGAGGCTGAAACTATTGATCATCGAACTTTGTATTTTAAAAGTAATTGTGATATGCGGGATGATTTTAATTATTGCGATATGAAAGAAAATAATCAAGTTATTTTATCACCTTTAGCTGCCATATCAGGTATTGGTTTACATTCTTCATTTCCTCCAGAATACCAGCATCTGGTGTGCCTTGGTGTTTGTAAAAAGTTATGTTTTTTCTATTTTACATCAGTTTCTCAGTATCCACGTCTTCCTTGTAAATTAAGCTTAAACCAAATGTCGCAAGTATCAGAAACTATGAAGAACTTTTCTAAATTTATTCCTAGTGAATTTCATTGCAAAATCAGACCTTTATCAGAACTGTGCCATTACAAAGCTACAGACTATCGGTTTTTTTTATTACATCTAGGGCCGTTTTTGTTAAAAAAGATTTTGCTATAAGTGAAAGAGTAATGCCTCTTTCTTTTGGTTGTAAACCGCCGGGCAATTGTTGTATAACATCACAAGGAATTATTTTAATTACAAATGTTTTGAGTGGCCCAGCTATTTTAGTTTCTGGTTATATTTTAAAGCTACATAAAAATTTGTATACAATCGGACCTTATAAATCTTCTTCGCTAAGTTATTGGTATTTGTTATAAATCTGCAACATATGTAAATAATTTAGATCTAGTAAATAAGTGTATTTGTTATCCTTATAAGCAGAGATTTATCATTATTCCATATTGTAATTCAAACTACATGTCTTAATTAACATTACATTTATATTATGGTATACTTCTTCCATTTGTTTTTGCTCTATTTATTATTTTTTTAATAATAAATTTAGATTTTCTGTTTTAGACAATTCTTTTTTGTTTTGGTTTTTTTTTTTCACATTTTTGAGAGTAGTTATATTAACAAATTATAATCAAAATGTTAACAACACATATTCCACTGAATTTCTAATTGGTTGAAAATTTCCAAAACTTTATGACCTTTTTTTTAAATGTAGTACTGGAACAATATCAATAAAATTTTTGAAGAGCAGTAACAATAAATATTCCCAATATACGTATATAGGTATAAAATATATTCCTGACAAACAACTGACAAACAAATATATAGGTATAAAATATATTCCTGACAAACACTCTGTGTATGTGTATGTATTTATGTATGCCAAAAAAAATTGTTTATATACAGAATTTGTTTCTAAATTTTTTATACCTGATGATTTCAACTGATATCTATGAAATATGTTTTTTAAAAGTTTAAAAAAAGTTTGTTATTTAAAAGTTATATATGTATAAATATTATATTATATTTAAAAGTTATATATATTTATATATATATATATATATATATATATATATATATATATATATATATATATATATATATATATATATATATATATATATATATATATATATATATATATATATATATATATATATATATATATATATGTGTGTGTATATATATATATATATATATATATATGTGTGTGTATATATATATATATATATATATATATATATATATATATATATATATATATATATATATATATATATATATATATATATATATATATATATATATATATATATATATATATATATATATATGTTTGTTGCCTATTGATCATGTTGTGCGCGTTCAAGCTATATTGAAAGACGAACCGTTTGATGCATGTCTTCTGCAAGTTGTTCCAAATGAAGACAGTTGTCAACAAAATATAAACAGTTTAAGACACGCAGTGAAGTTAAAAAGTTTGGTGCACAGAGATTAATGAAGTACATCAAGTTCAGGTATTTATAAAATTTAAATTTTTAATTTTTTTTTTGAGAAAGTTTAATAATAAAGTCTGTTCTTTAACTATTTATTTACAGTTCGTCCTAATAAACGTACACCTTTGCAACCGTTAGAAAACCCAACCAGTGGAACCGACTCTGATGCCTTTACAGCGCTGTTTCTTAAACCACTGACTGTTAAATGTAGGGAGCTGCTATCTCCGCTTTGTTTTCGACTTTTAATTCCAATGTATATATCTACCCCTATTTCTTCTAAGCAACATGTTGATAAAAACCAATCACGAATTTCACCTCCTATCATTTCAAATTCTTGTAAATCTTTGAAAGGCAAAGTGTCAGCGTCAGTGTCAGTTGGTCCGAAAAAAACACGAGCAAATAGTCAGGCTTGGTCGGGAAGCGGGAGCGATCGCTCTCGATTGCTGACCACGTAAATAATATTTATTTGCGAAAAGCTGGCCAGATTTTTTAGTCTTTTTGAGAACATTTTAAAAAGCAAAAAAAAATAAGCGCTAAAGATTAATTGGACCGATGAGAAACAATTACAAAAAAAAAAAAAAAAAATAGGTAAATAAAATATTTTTAAACGCGAAAAAACTTAAAGCTAAATAAATTACGTTTAAAACAAATATTTTCAAAATATCGCTTTTTTATAATTTTTTTAATAAAATTAAGCGATGTTTATTATATAAAGTAACAACTTACGATTGTTTAAAGGGGAAACAAATATTCTTTATTTAACAAAGTTTGCAAGTTTTAGTTTAATTTTAGCTAAATTATTTTATAAATAATAAAGTTAATTTTTTCAATACCTATTTTATGTTTCACGTAGTTTGAAAAGTTTAACATATTTGAAGCATTTCTTCTTAGTAAGATAAACAAATGAAATAATTAAATCATTGAATTACTATAGAAATTAAGTTAACAATAAAGAAATCAACTTAAGGTTAAAAATACTTCATGACGAAGAAGCGAATTTTGTTTCACAATATCGCTGGTGATGTTTAGTAAGTGGGCTTTTTAATTTTAATTAGTATTTAAAGCAGAAAAATGTATAACGAGTTTTTAGAATGGCAACTTAAGCGAAAATAATTAGAGTTAGTAAACCAATATCTTGTAACATTTCTTTATATCTAATTATTTGCTATATATATTTGTGTTCTGTCGTGAACTCAGGCGCGGTGCTTGTTCATCTGCGAGTTACTTTATACACAAACGGCTATCCACCGTTCCTACCTCGTCATTAATTTATTCTAATTATACGTAAATATGCGTTACCGCCATCATGGAGGACAAACAAACGTAAACAAATAGTTCGGCAATGTCAGCAGAAAGCGAACATTTGTCTAAGCTTGATTCTAATGCAAAGCAAAGATACTTTGAAGAAATAAGCTTTATAAACCATGTTGATCCATATCTTCTTAAAGATACTGATTTCTCTGATAATATAGATAGTTATCCAAATGTTACATATCCGGATATTGTTAACTATTTTTTATTTGCTCCAAGTCCTCTTACTAAGGATCAGTTAAAAGCATACAAAGCTCTTGATTCTTATAATCAATTTGTATCAGGTTGGGTTATCAAAGCTGGTGTGAAATTATTTGAGAAATATGTTCTCATTCATGACAGAGTAGGTTAATTAATTATTAGTTTAATATTAAAATAGAAATAGCTTTCTTGTTTTAATTTTTTGTCCTAATTTTTTTAGGTGAAACACTCTCAAAAAATGAATGATGTACCATTACATCCATTGATTATTTCGGAGAAGTCAGGAAATATAGTTATAGTTATAGTCACATGTTAGTGCGGTACTATTTCAAATTGAGTGTACAGTTAAAATTAGAAGTTCAAAAACATGCACTGATGAAAAAGCTTATTGTTTACTAAAAAGATAGAATTAAAGCCTGTTTCAGATATTGATTTTACATCACTCAAATCTTTGCAATGCAATTTAAATAATAAAGTTCAAGGCATAATCTATGACAAAAAAATAGCACATCGAAAAAGTGTTTCTATTCCAGCAAAAGATTAAACTGATAAACTTTTTTTAGACCTTAATCAATGTGGAACAAAACCAGCTATTCTTTCAATTATTCCTGGGTTTACCAAACCTTATGAACCATCAATTTTAACAGAAAAATATCCTGAATTATTGCCATTTCTTTATCAGAAAAATATATTTTCAAACTTTAAACAACTCCTAGCTGCTTGTAAAAAAAAAAAATTACAATAACGATTGAGCAAAGTAAAAATGTTGAGAGTACTACGCGACTTCAAGCAAATGTAAAAACTGGTTTTACCTTAGGGCAGGTCGTATAACTGCTTCAAAATTCGGAAGTGTATGCTGCGCAAACATCACCCAACCACCAATCAGTTTGATTATGCAAATATGTTACCCCATTCAAGCACGTTTTTGTACAGCAGCAACAAAATGGGGAAATGACCATGAAAAAAAAGCATTGACTTTGTATTCCACAACCATGGAAAAGAAACACTCGAAATTTTCAATAAAAAATTAAGGGTTTTTTAATTCAGTTCAACAACCCTTCTTGGTGCATCACCAGATGCAGTTATTAATTGTGATTGTTGTGGAAATGGTTGTCTGGAGATAAAATGTCCATATAGTATGAGAGATAAATACATTAGCGAATTATTAGATTTTAAAAATTGTTGTCTGGAAAATAAAGCTGGTTATATATCTTTAAAAAAATCACATATATATTACTATTAAGTTCAGTGTCAGTTATATGCTTCATCAAGTAACTACTGTGATTTTTTTATTTGCACATCAAAAGATTCGTATTGCGAAAGAATATTGCCGGATTTGGAATTTATTGACAGGAATATAATAAAATCTTAACAATTTTTTGAAGAATGTATTTTACCTGAACTAATTAACAAATTTTACAGCCAAAAAAATCAATTAATGAAAGAAATATAAAAATACTTTGCAGAACTTTATATTTGTTATGTAACAATCCAATAACTCTCTCAATGTGTACTCGAAAAGAGGCAATTTCCAGGGTTGTTTCTACATTTGAACAAGTCAATTGTAACTTTCCTTTTATAAATCCTGTAATCTTTAGCTCCCCACAATAAAAACTCTCAGCAATGTTAAAACCTCTATCAACTAAAATAACATCTCCATGAAGAATGTTTTTTAAAATTGAACAATGCTCTGTTAGGTATTTATTGCTAACGCGTCCTCCCCAAGCTTTAAAAACAAATGTTATCACACCTTGTGGGCTTACACCTATTAAGAATTTAACAGTATTGTGATGTTTGTACTGTGACCAAGTTGCTGCTCTTGCGCATAGATTAGATGGTTTATTATGAAGATTTCAAAGCAATCAATTATTACAGCCACTTTTGTTTCAAAATATTTTCTGAAGCATAAAGGCATAGTTTCTATAAGCTCATTGCAAGCAGGCCATTTAATTAAATGTTTCATTCTGAAGTACATAATGTCAATCCATCTTGAAAATACTTTTGATGAGGTCGATTTTTAGGTTTCAAATCTATAAGCAAGGTCTCTAATAGATAGATTTAAACGCAATCTCGTAAGCGTCAAAGAAAATTCTTCAAAGTGCGATAAAACTGAGTTCTCATTTTCAGTTATAAGAGGCTTTAAGAAGTTAAATAAACAACATAAAATTTTCAAATTTGGCAATCCAGTGTAAAATGTTACTTTTGAATTGGTACCGTAGAACGGGGTGACTTTGTTAGGATTTTGAGCATTTTTGCAAAATAAATCTGGTTCATTACAATTTTTTCTGATTTTTTTTCTTCCCGTTATAACATTATACCTTTCCTTTATATAATTCCATTAAATATTTTTAATTTTTTTTTGTCTTAATATACATATTTTTAATCCAAAATGTTATCAATCTCACTTTGTCGTTTGGGGTGACTTTGATAGTCTATTATTTCTTAATGGCTTATTGATTTAACCCTCTTTACAGTGTCGCTAATACTTTCTTTTTGACTTTTACTAAATTAGAACACAACATATTAATAAACTTATAAGATTTACTGGTAAAATTATAAATTTAGACAACAAGTTTGGTTATCGAATATATCTACAGAATGGAGAAAGAAAAAACAAAAATAAATTTGATGTTAATATGCTAAACACAGAAAAATAATATATCAATAACATTGTTATAGTAATTAGCAGTTATAAAATAACACTAACAAAAAAATAATACTAATTGCATATAAATATTAAGTACTTATAATATCCTTTAGTTGTTTAACTCAATTTAAAATTAAAAAGATATCCAAAAAAATAAATAACTGAAAATCACATTTTCTGAAGATTCTACAGCAACTGGTGTTAAAACCGGACTAGGAGTTAGTTTGTTATGTGTCCTTTAATTGTTTAACTCAATTTAAAATTAAAAAGATATCCAAAAAAATAAATAACTGAAAATCACATTTTCTAAAGATTCTACAGCATCTGGTTTTAAAACCGGACTAGGAATTAGTTTGTTATGTGTAGTACTTCTATACTGCTGCAGGGTACTAATTAGTAAAATAAATGTTTGAAAGACAAAGTGTTAATCATAAAGTGTTAAATCTTAAATGAAATAATAGTATTATTCTGAATACTCCTGATCGTGTATCCGATTCACTTAACAGATTTTATCAATATTTGTCACATTTGCAAACTGTAGTTGATAACTATTATTTGTCTTTGGTGGTTGAAGATGTTGCAATATATTTGAGAAATGTACAGCAAAAACAATGTCTTCTGCAGCAGGATATATTTAAACAAATTTTTGGATCCTTCTACTTTTCTTAGGAGTCTCATATAAAGAATTTTGGGTGTTGATAAAACCTCAACAATCTACCCAATGTAATTCAAGGTCACACTTTTTTTAGTTTTTCCTGGATAGACTGCAACATGCCAACTCCCTGTAGTTAGAAAATTGTTGACATCATGTTCTTCTTGATCAGACTTATTAAAATCGACATCTTTCTTTTCATTAACTTCATTAATAGAACCACTACTACCAACTTCAATGTCTTCTAATTCAGACAAAGATTCAACATTCTTTGAAGCTAGTTTTGATTTTTTGCCTTTAATTTGTTAATTTTTGGATTTTTTCTGTTTTGTTGGTTGTCCATCATCAATGTCATCTATTGTGATCAATTTTCCTGGTGCAATTTTTTTCCCTCTTTTTCTATTGGTTTGTCCTGCTGCATTGTTGCCACAGTACTTCGTGAGAATATCTATTACACCCTGATTTAATATTTCTTTTATGGTCTCACCGCCATAGTCTTTGTTGACATCTGGAAGCCGTTTTAATACTTCTTCTCTATTCAATGGATATATGCCTGAAGCTTTGAATTCGGCTTTTAAGTTGTCTGCATTCAGAGTATTTTGCAACTTTTTCAAGAGCGCTGGGAAATGGTTTTTTGAAATTGAACCCTTGATTCTTGATTGTGTTCTCCATGTTTGTAAAGTCTTCTTCCACTCAACTTTCAAGGATTTGAAAACAGCAATATCAAGTGGTTGTAGCAGATGTGTGGCATTCGGGATTAAACATGTAAACCGTATATAATTTTCCAAGCATGTTTTGATGATATCATATGAGAAATGTGAAGATAAATTATCCCCAATAGCAACTTTAGTTCCTGTAAGAGATGCTGTTTTAGGAATAAAAATTTCCTTGAACCAACGTTCAAATGTTCTGGAGTCAAACCAACCAGATTTTGAACTGTCAAATATACTTCCAGGTGGGCCACAATTTGTCCATTCAATGTAGCAGTTTGCAGCTTTATAAACAACCATGGGAGAAAGAAAATGACCAGCTGCACTCCCACAGTACATAATACTAATAGCTCCTTTAGAATGCTGCAATTTTCTTTCTTTACGTTTAAGGCCGCGTTTACAAATGACTGTTTTAGTGCCTGGGTTATCGCTGACATTTTTCTCATCATAATTGAATATATTTGTATCAGGAATGTCTTGAAGTGTTATGGACAACTCGTCAAAATATGAGCAAACTGAATTTTGATCAATTTCAGCTCTTTCTGTTTTTACGGTGTCAGCAATTCGAGCAGTCAGATTATTGCGAACAATAAAGGATTTTATCCAATCAGGGCCAGGCAAGTTATTTTTAAATTTTAAATCAGTAACTCCCATTCTGTCTAAATAGTTTTTTACTAGCAGACGTATATCTAACTTATCTAAAGGTAACTTCCAATCTGTCAGAATGCTAATAATTTGTAAAATCTTTTCTTCTGTATGGGGCTGTAATCTAGTCTGTCCTCCAGGGTTTTTCATATGTCTTAGCTTACTCTTGTTGTACAGAGTACTATATGGTATAGCATATATCTTAGATGCCTTGAAAATCGATATTCTGTTAGTTGAGATATTTACCAAGGCATTTTGCAAGTCTTCTGCTGAGTAAGATGCATAGGATCGATTACCTGGTTTACGTTTATAAGTTCTCATAATCCTTGCAATTCTCCTTGTGATATTTTTGTTTTAACGTTTTTTTTAACTAGAAATAATTGTTTGAAACATTAAAAAATTACAATAGGATTGAAATATATAATACTAAAAATCATTTGAAAAACTGAAAAAAAAAATTGTTTTGATTTTTCTGCAAATGTAATTGAGAGTAACCAAAAACGAGTGGTATATTCCAGTGGTATTATAACTGGAAAATACCACTTGAACATCTAAATATAGATTTTTGGAAAGAAAAAAAATTCAAAAAAATTAAAATCACAAGATTTTTGGCATTTTTTGGTACGTGTAAAAATCGTTATTTTCTTGTTATAGTCATGTTATTCCTAACACATTTGCACAATTTAGAATCACTTCACAATCATTAAAATTTCAAAAATATTAGCAGAATATAATTATGTACAAGAATAAAAAAAAAAATAGTCTCTAATTGTGCAATTTCACATTCAAATCATTATTTTTGTAACTAACAGACGAAATTATCAAAGTCACCCCGCGTATCAAAGTCACCCCGTTCTACGGTATCAAACCATTCAATAGTTCCCACATGGAGTTTGACTAAATTTGCACGCAAATTATAATTAAGTTTGTTTTTCTATATAAACTCAGTTTCTATTTGATTGATATTTTTGACAGTCTTATCAGTTTGAACACTCGCATCTCCTAAGTTTTCACAATCTATTGTAACACTTTCTGAGACAATTGATTCACTGCTTTTGAAATAATCTTTTTGAAAATCTACAATTGAATCTTCAGAAGGGTTTAAATTAGTGATGCTGTTTCTACAAGACATAGAATCATTTCGACTTGTTAACAATGAACGATTTTTGTGTCGTAAGTATCTTTCTCTAGGTTTCTCAACCTCAAACTTAAACTTTTTGTGCCCCATATTTAAGGATGGGACCCATTCAGGATCATTCTGTGAGAAAAGTGAAGAAGGTTTTTCTAAATAAAAAAATAAAGATGTTTAACAGTTAATAACAGTTATAACAGTTAAACTTTCAAAGTAATAAATATTTCAATAGTAAAAAGGCTTATTCTACCTGTAATAAAACGATCACTGCAAATTCGAGTGTAGAGGACATCAGGATAGTTACCAACTCTGATTATGGCATTTATCCATTTTTCTCTACGTTCTTTTGATAAAATCTTACCATCATCGCCTTGATTGCAAACTACTTTTGGTAAACGAAATAAAGATTTTCCCTTTTCACGATTTGAACGACTTGAACATCCAAATACAGCACAAAAGTTGACCATATTATAATTTTATTATTAAAATATTTGCATATTGATATATTAAACTTTAATTTAAAATAAAAAAATGGTAATAACTAAACAAATCACGAACGGCTATTTTCTGAGATCGATCCCTGTTTTGATTGGTTAAAAAATTTGAGTTTCGCAGAGTCCGATTTTAAAAACATCTCGTTAGCCGGACTCTAAGACTTGAGGAAATTTTTAACGCATGCGTTGTGCTAGTAGGTTTAAATTCTAAACCTTGTTTTAAATTTTAAAACAACGCGCGCTCTTCTTATAGCAACTAGTTTGGTGAACTTAAAATTTATCAGAACTTGTTTATTAAATTTGAAAAATAATAAATTACAATGGTGAGTTTTTCTATTAATTATAATAATTCTTATATGATGAAAAAAGATTATAAAAATTCATTTATAACAAAATCTTATATTTACCTTTAAAATAAATAGAAGGTTACAGAAGTCTATGTTTACATTTACATTAAGATATTTAAAAAGTTATAGATTTCTATCTTATATTTGCGATGTCATTATAATATATCTATAATCATATTCATAATATTGATATAAGAAGAAATTAATGTTTATCATTTATACATTTTTGTTCTATTTCTACTTTTATATTCTATAATAATGATACTAGATAGGATGTATGCATATTAATTACAAATTTTATTTTATATTAATTATATCTGTATAAAATTAAAATCTTTCATAGATAGTATATATACATAACTAATACAAAATATCTTATATTGATTAAAATGTTGTCTACTTAACTCATAATTAAAAGTCAGTTCATGTGATTAGAAATTATAATTGTAAAGATGTGTTCATAACAAATTCCTGAAAAATTTCTAATGAATAATGTCTCAAAGCAAGTCATGCTTTTGTTGAAAATAGTTAGTGTTTTTTCTTTAAAGTATTTGCTACCTTAACATCAGTTAATCAAATGGTCAAATGAGTCTTTTTTCATAATAAAATTGCTACTAATTATCATTTTGTGGAGTGCATTTTAGTTATCAAAGTGATAAATAGCGATAGCTTGCCTCATAAGCGAGAAGTTCTGAGATCAATCCACCACGCTCCTGGTAGTGCTTTGCTTAACTTGTGAACCTTGACAAACAACTTTAAAACAATGTTAGAAACAATAAAACTTTACTGAGATATTTTCCATAATTATTAAAGATGAAATAAAAATGAAAATGCAAATTGATGGAATAATTTTCTTCATTCATTTCATTATCAAAAATTGCTCAAGAATTTGAATTTATAAATAGCAATGTTTAAATAGGATGATTTAAAGGTAGGTCCTAAATTTTAATAAAAACTTTAAATGCACAATATCTTGTGAAGACACTCTAGGTCTATGTTTTCTTCAATATTGCGAACCTACTTTTGTATCATTCAAAATATAGCTAACCGTCTGTGAATTCTTCAGTTACATCTTTTCAATTATATTAAATATAACTACAGGATTTTATGGAGTTATTAAATTAAAATCCATTATATTACCCAGATGTAGTTTCATATATATGTCTTTTTTTCAGATGTAGTTACATTTAAAAAAATTATATAATGCAATATATTAACCAGATGTAGTTTCATATGGTTTTTTAAAGATGTAGTTACATCTGGAAAAAAAATATTAAACATAAATGCATTCTTCTAGCCAGATGTAATTTCATATATGGGTTTTTTTTCAATGTCTAGAGAAAATTCTTCCAGACATTGTTGGAGAAAAATTACCAGATGGATTACAGGCTGGGAGAAAATTACCAGATATAGTTACATCTTGCTAAAGATGTTGTTAGGGATCATTGAATTTCCAGATAATACTAAACAAATGTTGATGGAAGAAAAAAAATACAGATGATCTTTAACAAAAGTATACAAATGATCTACTATCAAATAGACTACTCTACAGATGTTGTTGGACAAATGTAGTAATCTTTTACTAGGTTTTATAATTAGGATAAAGTATTTTATTTGCATAATTAAATTGAACTATATTAATAAAATTTAATTATCAAGTTTTTAATTAAGTAAATAAAATTTTCTTGAAATAAACTAAATTAAAGTCGAAAGCAACAACAAGCCAACATCTTGTTGTATAAAAACATCTTTAATAAATATTTTGATTGTGTTTTTAAAGCTGAACTAGGTTTTTCCAAGCTCTATGCAATCATGTTAATTATATATAAGTATGCAGCCAAAAAGAAATTATCAATGATGGTAAAGGTATTTCTTAAGAAGTTAATATATTTTGCATTTTGTTTTATATATATAGTTGACGGGGTCTTTAAGTTAGACTTTGCAGTTCTGTTCTTTTTATATTCGATTTATGACGTTATGAAATAATGGCTTTTTTTATGTATAAACATATTAAGTACAAAAAATTAATAATTTTAAATATTAGGTACAAAAAGGATAATTATGCAGTAAACTTTTTGGAAAAACAAAGCAGTTTTAATTTTTATAGTTTTAATTATATGCAGAACCAGGAATAATAACATTATAAGTAGGTCCTCTTATATTTCTTTTAGAGCACATTCTCAGTGTGTATGCACTGTAAACAATAGTATCAACCATTGTTTACAGAGCACTGTCTTTCAGTATTTTAATGAAGAGCCAAAAAAAAAAAAAAAAAAATTTGCTAGTTTAAAACATTTTTACAATCCAGTTATGTAAACAATGTCATGAAGTATATCTACACTTAAACATGAAATAATAAATTATAACATCATGTAGAGTAATGCAGGATAACTGGATCTACAGCGAAATATTGCATGGTTTGTTTTGTTTTCAAAGATACATATAAAATATATATATATATTTTTAAAGAAGTAAAAGTAATAGATGCAAAAACAAAAAAAAATTTGCGAAAAGCTACATCTGTTGTGTAGTCTTAGATCATTTATATTTTTCTTTAACTCCAACAATATTTGTCCAATATTATCTGGAAATTCAATGACCCTTAGCAACATTTTTAGGAAGATGTAACTACATCTAAGAATTTTCCTAAAGTCCAATAACATCTGGAATAATTTCCTTCAGATATAGTTACAACTGGTAATAGTTCTATACCTAACTACATCTGGATGAAATAATGGATCTTTCGTTAATATTTTTTTCAAATGTAGTTATATCCAAAGAAAGTTACTAAATAAATAATCATCTGGCTGCATGTATGCATTATTATAATATTTTCAATAATTATCATTAAAATTTAAAATTTATTGCATAAATAGTTGTTACCTTTATAAGATCACTTAATATTTTCTCCCAACATTTTAAAAAGGAGATGGAATAAATAAGCACTTAGGGATTAACTAATAATGCATACATGGCTTCTCCTCGCTTTTTCTATAAGCCCTTTATTTTCAATTTTTTCAACTTTAATTTTTATTCAAATAATTTTTTATTAAATTATAAAGGAGCTTTATTTTCAAATAACCTTTATTCTACACCTTTTCAATATGTAAATGAGAACATGAAAGTTGTAATTAAGAAGTCGTAATATGTAATTAAGAAACACAACATGTAATTGAGAAAACGTTATATGTAATTGAGAAACACAACATGTAAATAAGAAGTCGTAACATGTAATTAAGAAACACAACATGTAATTGTGAAAACGTAAGACATAATTGAGAAATCATAATATGTAATTGAGAAATTGTAACTTGTAATTGAGAACACATAACACAAGTTTATAGGTTGTTACAAAAGGTCTTTTTGGACATGAATTTAAGTTATAATCTTAAATTTTGCTTTTGTATGCACAAGTAATAATAATGAAATTGAAAGGTCGTTGTGTTATATGCCAATACACTATGACCCGAAAGTCTGTGATTAAGCTAAATCCGTGTCAACATTTATGTCACCAAATTTGTTTACGTCCAGTTCTGGAACAACCAGATTCAAGTTGTCCGATTTGTCGGCATGAAATACACTCAACTGAACAAGTTAAAAGGAAACGTTACGTTTTATCTTCTCCAAATGACAGGAGAAGAGTTGTTGAATGTGCGGAGCGATTTGAAGATTGGGTGAATCTCGCGCAAACGCTAGGTATCAAATATAAGACAGCATACAATTGGGTTCGCAGCGGAAATTCAAATTTCATCGGAAAAGGAGGTTTTAAACCGAAAAAGTTGACCGAAGATCAAATCGAAGAAACATTAACATGGATTGAAAATGATTGTCAATTAACATTGGTGGCTATCAAAACAAAGATATTAAGACAATTTAACATAAACGTTAGCACAACAACAATAGCAAATTACCTCGAAGGCAGATTGTTCTCATTAAAAAAAGTGCACAAGGAGCCTTCTACAATGAACAGTTATGAAAACAAACAAAAAAGAGCTGAATATGTTAGAAACAACAACGAACATATCACAAATGGTCGTCAGATAGTTTGGATGGATGAAACAAATTTTAACCATTTTTGTAGAAAAACGCAAGGACGCGCGAGACAAGGAAAAAGAGCAATTATGAAAGTACCTGCTTCAAAAGGTTTAAACATACACTTGATCGCAGCTATTTTAACTACAAATGTCGTCATGATAGAAACTCGCAGGGGATCATTTAAAGCAGATTCCTGTAACGAGTGGATGTTGGCTATGTTTCACCAGTGGGTTACATCCGGGAATCGTTTGGAGGATTTGGTCGTCGTAACAGATAATGCTCCTTGTCACGCTCGTTTGCAAAGGGTGTTTGATAATTCACCAGCTCAGTTGTTACGTTTGGGACCTTACAGTCCAATGTTGAACCCGGTGGAAACGATCTGGTCCAATATTAAAAGTAACGTTAAAAATGCAATTCGCATTCCACCTGTATTAGGTGACGGGATTGCGGAACAGCGCATGCAGTACTTAGAACGAATTGTAATTGAGGCGAAAAATACTATAATGGGAGGAGATTTGCACGTGCGGTACAACACACAACCATGCACTATGCAACTATTTTAAATATGGAAGACGTACAAGTTGGTGCTTAAATGATCAATGAAGTGATTTTTAATTATATAATTTTTAATTATAATTTTTAATTGAATTAAAAATTTTTCCCTAAAATGTTTTTAGTGTTTATTATGTTAAATTCATTTGCCCAAAAATTATAAATTTTTTCCCTAAATTTTTCCCTTAAAAATTAAATTTACGCTACAAATCTTGCGTCATTTTTAAGTGCGTCATTTTATACGCTCCATTTTTTTACGCGCCATTTTTTTTAAGCGCCATTTTACACTTACTCCTTTAAAGCGATATCTAAATTAAATTTTTCGTGTTCTCAATTACATCTTTCTATTTCTTAATTACAACTTACATTTCCTCAATTATATGTTACGA